TAAAATTCTGGCTGTTACTATGTCAGCTGACAGTGATCGCTTAACAGTTCAGATGGCATATCATCGGGAAGGTTGTGGACTGCGACAGCCGAGCGAGGGTCGTTTGCCGTTTGACTCGGAAACCCCAACGCGTAGCGGCGAATGAAACTTCTAACAGGAGAACAGGAAATCGAACTGGTTACGCGAAACTAGGTGATGACACTATTGTCACACTGTCCGGTCAGACCGGTCCGTTCACTAATCGGCAAGACGGTCACTCGTGACATTGCCGGTGGTCTTTACCGTTGAGTATCTCGTTCCTATTCGAATGATCAACATGTCGCCTTTGCTGAAAATCCGATAATACTCGTCCCATGTAAACATGACATGCTGTTTGAAAAGGAACTTCAAGGCAAAGCAGCAAACAAAGCCTGTGTTAACTGTAAAAACAAGGGCGTTCAAATTCTAGCGATAAGAAATACAGAACGAGGCTCTTTTCACCGTAACGATAAACCACAAAAATAAGTACTTCCAAAAGTTGAAAATTTAAAACATGGTCAAATATTGTCATTTTCATCTTCAATGGCCACTTCTCCTTTCGGGTCGCGGGGGCAGACACGTCAGACAGTGCCTCAGACGCTTCTGATACTGTGCCAGTGCCTGAGCTTCAGTAAAAGGAAACTCGAGTATGGAGCAGAATGTATGGAAACACTGTCCCGAGGCCGTTTTTGGCCGTACCCCGGGCATTCAGCAGGTCGGTGTAGCGAAGAGTAGCAGTTTGGTCTTCCTTTCGGGAAACATTCGCAAGACGTACCCAAACTACCGCAGCTGTGAATTCTCAATCTGGAGAAACAGAGGCTGTACACCAAGGATCTCGCGGATGTTAGTATTCCGGACAATGTCGAGACCTATAAGGACAGCGACTCGTCTTAGAAAACTTATTTCGGCCGCTTGTACCCCGAATCAGAGTTTTTTAGTTCTAATCCACGACTTTTGACTGTAGATAAGCATGGGATAAAGATCCACCTGATCACCGACAGCGTAGTTTAGAGAATGACCTCTCTTTTAGTTACAGTGCATCGGGCCAATTCACGCAGAACACCACTGGCTACTCCAATACGCCGGTCGATCGCTTCCTCAAATTTTTCATCACCAGTGAACACGACTCTGAGGCACTTGAACTTCTCTACCTGCTCAATTGCCTCTCCGTTAATCTGAAGAGAGCAACGGGCATGAGAACGAGAAAGTACTAGGCTTTCGTCTGCAAACAGCAACGTTGCCGTCTCCACATTTCCTATGCTGTTGCCCCTGTAACTCATGCTGAGCCTGGCCATTCTACATGCACAACACAAACATCAATGGGAACAGTAGACAGCTGGGCGGAGACCAGCCATTATGCTGAAAAGTCTCGACCTAGGGCCATTTATTTTGAAGCAGCGTCTGCTATCAACCAATAATGACTGGATGACTCGCAATGACTGGCTTGACCGATCCACGATCCCATAGTCTGCAGGTACGTCCATAGGTTATTGCGAAGGATCCGGTCATAGACTTTCTCTAGATCCAGAGAACTCATGAACATCTGAGAAGCTAGATCCTACGATTTCTCAGCGCTCTGGTGTAAGGCGAAGATCTGAACATAGCTGCTTCTCCCATACCTGAAGCCACACTACTTTTCTTCTTTTATCATAAAGGAAGTTATTCCGCCGACTTCTTTTCTAGCACCCTTGTGTAGCTTTTTCTCAGGCTAGCGGCTGCTTCCACCATTTAGCCCTCATTTTGCGTCGAGATGGTAATTACCACCAACGGAACTCGTTGTGTCTTCTGAGGGAATTGTCTAAGAACAGCGCCTGTCGTGTGCAAAACGTTTGGAGGGGGGAAGTCTCTGTCGTTTTAATCCCCATCGAAAGCACGATAAGCATTGCTTGTCGATGTTGAACTTACCTTGTGACAGGAGGATGACGACTCTTGGTCGCGACTCGTCATGGCATGAAATGGCTAATTAAAATTATACTTGGATTATATTTGGAGGATGTAAAGAAACTAACTGTTGCGCTAGGACTGCAAAATGCGCTGTAGTTGTTGTGTTGCGTCATCAAAGGCTAGCGCAGTTTTACAGCAGAGTGACCCCGATTTATGATCTGACCTTTAGATTTGTGCCGTAGTATGGCATGGCCAAAATGTGCACGTTTATGTTATCGTCACTCATTGAACGGTAATTGCCATTGGACCTTAATATTTTAATAAGGTACATAATTATGCATTATTGAACTGTTTTTATCTTGGCATGAATTGGTCATTTAATGGGTTACGTAACTTCTTAGCATATAGAAATAAAACGAAAGGGCAGAAAAAAAAATTTGCTGACCCTAACACGTCATTATCCATTATACTTCTAGAATTATGGGTCATTCGTGCTTTAATGGAGCGTATGGTGTGTCTTCAGTTTGCGTCATTGCGTCATCCTTATTATTTCTGCTAAAAGACTATATTAAGCGATCAGTGCAGTACGTAGTTACCCGATTCCTTGCAAGAAAGTGATAATCAAATATCTACTTTGGAAGGATGAAAAGCGAGTGACTCGACCAGGGCTTGAACCCACAGTCTTTTAGCCTTGAATTACACCCCTTACTGACTTGGACATTCTAGCCTACGAAAATAAGCAAGGGAACATTACGCCGAGTAAACCCAAAGAAACAATGTTCATTGCTTATTTTTCTGGCAGTAACAAAAATAACTCTTTTCTATCCATTAGTTCCATTTCAAATTGTAAATGTGCATAAGAAAACTGATGGTAAATGGGCTTCGAAAACCGTACTCAAGTTGATGTAAACGCATGTGGGTGTCACCTGCAAATCACTCTCTTTTTCAGGACCATTCATAGTTGTATTAAAGAAACATTTCAGTACGAACACGATAGCACCTGAAGTTACGTATTATTACAGTATCAGCCATAAGAGCATTAATGAGCATAAATGAACAGAAGACAGCATATGAGCTAACGACTAATTACGCCAATAATTTCTATACAGCATGGAAATGAGTAAAACAGAAGATCAGGAAGTTTGAACGGGAAGAATTTGTCAGTTCATTGGTCTGCGCGAACGAAAGAAGTGCAAGCTCATCCAGACATTTGATAAGAACGTACCTTCAGCAATATAGCATGATCTGAGTGGCTTTGCATGCTGGAAAAAAAGATTTAAATGAAACTTCGGACCAACAAACAATTCCCGTTAGGCTGGAAGAAAAATGTTTAATAAAATGTTTTAAAACTGAATTCAACAAGTCCATGTCACCACTCTTCTTCAAGGGAACTGGAATTTTAATTACTTCTAAGCCAATTGTTAGTGCTCTAAACTCCATAAGTTTTTTGTCAGCTATGAAAGCTGAGGAAAAGAAACTGACTGAAATAAGCGATGGAGTAAAACTGTGTCACATCTCTCTCCGGGACTACGTTTCGGGCCCTCAAATTCGACAAGGATTGGATCAATAAATGTGATTTCACCTTCCTACGATCCGGTCGGCGATTTGACTCGTCGGAGAAACAATCGATGAACGTAGTGAATTGTAGACAGGGTCACAGGGTGTGATGGACAGTCCCAAGGTTCAATCACCTGACAAGCGGAGGATGCAGAAAGCGAAGAACAGAGAACGCTAGAAGAGCGTCAACTTGCCTTCATGGCAGACCCATATCGACGACAAGTCAGCTAACGGATAACTGCATGATACTCAAAGACTACGGTTGTCTGGGAGGCCATTTCAATCTTCTTGAGGAAGATACTGAGTTGGCCTTTGGAGGTGCCTTGTTCGACTCTATGTAGTGCTGTGCAGAGCATGTGCATTGTTTGAATGGCAGTCTCGAGTCTTCGTACGGACATGCCTGGTTCGTACACACCGTTCCGCGACGCTGTATTGCATCTATGAAGTGTCGGTGGTTTTAATGTGCTGAAGTCGTGACCAGTTTAAAAGCAGTCCCCGGAAGCAAGGAGCTGGTGCAACACTGCTGTAAAACCTGGTGTGGAGCCATGCGACGTCCTTCACTAACGCACTCTTGGTGAAAAACCAAAATGATTTAAAAAAATTTCTGATT